CCCCCACCTCCAGCTCCCCCACAGGGACCTCCACAGGGACCCCCAGCAGCTCAGGACCACCCCCCACCTCCAGCACCTCCAGCTCTGGATCCACCACGGTGTCACCTCCCAGCTCCTCAGGCCCCTCCTCCCCCCCTGGGGTCTCCTCCAGCTCCAGCTCCTCCACAGAGACGAGCCCCACAACATCTCCCACCGCCCCAGGACCCTCCTCAGCCCCTGGAACCTCCTCCAGCCCTGGATCCACCACTGGGATGACCACGATGGGAAGTTCCACCAGCTCAGGACCCTCCTCAACAGCTGGAACCAGCTCCAGCCCCTTCACCTCCACAGTGGCCACCACAGTGACCTCCACCCCCACCTCGGGACCCACCTCCACCCCTGGAACCACCTCCAGCCCCATCACCTCCACAGTGGTGACCACGACAGCATGTCCCACCAGCTCAGGACCCTCGTCCACATCTGGAGCCACCTCCAGCCCTGGCCCCACCATGGTGGTGACCACAGCGACATCTCCCACCAGCTCAGGACCTTCTTCCACCCCTGGATCCACCCCAACCTCTGTCCCCTCCACGGTGGTGACCACAGTGGCAACTGCCAGCACTTCTGGACCCCCTGCAACAGCTGGATCCCCCTCCAGCTCTGGTACCTCCCCAGAGGTGACCCCAACGACACCTCCCATCACCTCAGGATTCACCTCCAGCTCTGGAACCTCCACGGTGACGCCCACAGTGACCTCCACCCCCACCCCTGGGACCACCTCCAGACCTGGCACCTCCCTGGTGACGTCCACAGTGACCTCCAGCCCCACATCTGGACCCTCCTCAACCACGTCCCACACTCCTGGATCTACTTCCAGCCCTGGCACCTCCTCAGGGGTGACCCCAACAACAAGTCCCACCAGCACAACGTCCTCCCCCACCCCTGGGAGCAGCTCCAGCCCTGGAACCACCACAGGGGTGACCCCAACGACACCTCCCACCAGCTCAGGACCCTCCCCTTCCACCCGTCACAACCACCCCCATCGCCGTCCTCCCTCCAGGTGAGTCCCCCCCCCAGACCCCCCAACCTCCTCCCATGGGTCCCTTGGTGGCCACCTCCACCCTGCCCAGCTCCACGTGGGTCTCCTTCCCCCTGGGTCCCCCCTGGTGACCTTCTCCTGCTCCTTCTCAGTTGAGTGCCAGAACGGTGGCACCTACGACGGCTTCCGGTGTCTTTGCATCCCCAACTTCTACGGCCCCCTCTGCGAGTTCTCCACCAGCTCCATCGACACCAACCTCCGTAAGTGGCACCTCCACCCACCCCCAGGGACCTCCCTGGAGCTCCTGACCTCCTCGGGCCA